TGTTAGCTTTGCCGTTATGAATGTTCTAAATTCTTTATCATACATTTCCATGATTTCCATTGAATTGTCTGTGGATGAAGAGGAGTTATCCTTTTCCCTTGGAAGAGAGGAGGTATTTTCTTGTTTTCCCGTATTTCTTGTGGCCCTGCAGTGATTTCTATTCATCTGATGGAAAGTGTTTTTCTTCCCAAACTTGAAGTTCAATCTGAGCGTCCAGGAGCATGTAGAAAAGGAAACAGAGAGAGAGAAACAACAGCAACAAAAACAACCAAGAAACAGAGAAAAAGAGAAGAACTAAAGAAAATAATTTTTTTTAAAAAGAAAGCAAAAATTAGAAAACTGCATGGCGTGCAAGCACGCTGCACGAAATCACTAGTTCTCAGGAGTCATGAAGGTGTCTTCTGAAGCTTGCTCCCTTGCCTCTCCTGGCTTCGGAGGAGGAGAGAGGATTATTAACAAGATAAAGGGAGAGGAGGGGCTGAAAGCCTAGAGAAAATGCTTTACCTTAAAAAATTTTAAAAAAGGAAAAATTTTTAAAAATTAAAAAAAAAGAGAAGACAGAGACAGAGGTAGAGATAAGGAGAGGCAGAGGCAGAGGCAGAGGCAGAGAGAAGGCTTGAGGGAGCTCCTACCACTGGAGTTTTGGGGCTGGAGGCTAAATTATCAGTAGAAAATCTTCATTTCTTTTTTCCCTGAAATCACTAGTTCTCAGGAGCCATGAAAGTGTCTTCTCCTTTCTCCTTTTTTAATACAGTATTTAGTGACATAAATTTCCCTTCAGTACTGCTCAGTGTTATTTCACAAACTCAAGAGATGTTGTGTATTCATTTTTTATTCAGTTCAAAATACTTTCTAACGTCTGCTTTGATTTCTCCTTTGATCTATGGGTTATTTAGAAGTGTATTAGTGTCCAAATAATGAGGGGATTTTCCCAACCATCTTTCTGTTATTTCTATTTCACTGTAATCAGAGAATTTACTGTGTATGACTTGAATCCTTTTGAACTTGTTGAGAATCACTTTATGGTCTAAGATGTAGTTAATTAGGTCTGGCTGGTTGATTCTAGCTTATCTTTGATAACTTTCTGCAGATCTATGCCTTCAATTATTCAGGAAGCAGTATCAAAATCTTGTGCTATAATTGTGTATTTGTCTATTTCTTCTTTCAGTTCTTTAGTTTTTGCTTCATTTAAATTGAAGCACTGTGTTTAGGTGATAAACATTCAGATTTATCATGTCTCTAATTTTTTTTTTGACAGAGAGAGTTTTGCTACAGGGCATGTGAGCTTGCTAAAGAGAGAAATTACCCTCTAAGGGGGAAATGACCAGACTGCAATACCTTCTCCTCATTTTCCTCTTGGGACCCTGGGCACACACACATACATGCACGCACACATACACGCCCAGCGTGAGTTTCAAGCTGCTGGGTCCAGCACTTGAACTGCGGTCATTCACGTGAGAGTCCAGTGCTTTAACCACTATGCCACTGCCTAGCCACAATCAACTCTTTAAAAAAAAAAAAAAAAAAAGCTATAAAGTATGTGTGCTTGCTGGTGAGAGAGAGAAAGAGTCAAAGGGAGAAATCACCCCCAGGGAGATGACCACACCACAATCCCTTCTCCTTCATTCTTCTCTCTGGATTTTGGGCACATGCACCCAGTATGGTTTTCAAGCTGCCGGGAGTGAGATTTGAATTAGACAGTTGGTTATGTGGGATATAGCCACCTCAACCACCATACCACCTGGCTGGCCCTAATTCCAGGAAATTATATGCTTTATACTCTTTACTGGAAAAATCTATTTTGCCTGATATTAATCTAGCTTCTAGCCACTCCCACTTCCTTATTACTAGAGTTAGCATGAAAAATCTTTTCCATCTCTTTTTAAAAGAGGGTTCTTGCTGTAGGGTGCATGCACTTGTCAGAAAGACAGAGAGAGAGACAGAGAGACAGAAAGCGAGAAATCACCCCCCAGAGGGATGGCCACGCCACAATCCCTTCTCCTCTATCCTCCTCTCGGGATCCTGGGCACGCACGCACACGCGCCCGGCGTGAGTTCAAGCCACCGGGTCCAGGACACAAACAGTGGTCGAGTACATGGGAGTCCAGCGACATAGCCATTTCGGCTATTGCTAGTCCCTTCTCATCTTTTTTTTTGTCCTTTAAACCTATCAGTGTCTTTATAGTTAAGTGTGCTTCTTGTAGGCAGCATATAATTAGGACTTGCTTTTTCATACAATCTTTTAATTTCTGCTTTTTGATCGAGGTGTTCACAACATTTACACTTAATAACACTGGGTTTGAGTCTGTCGTTTTGCTATTTGTTTCATCTGTTTTTTTCCTGTTTTCTGCCTTCTCATAAATTAATCAAGTATTTTTTATGATTCTACTTTATCTCCTTTGTTGGATTATTAATTATAACACTTTTTTTTTTTGCTATTTTGGTGGTTGCTTTAGGGTTACAGCATTTATCTTTATTGTCTACATGTCAATGACACTATTTCATGTACTTTCATTTCTCCTCTTTAGCATTTATGTCATTGGTATCATTTTACTACCATGTTAGCTATAACAGATTCCAAAACAGTGTTATTATTTCTGTCTAAATGTCAATCATCTCTTTAAGATATTTATTTTTATTTAAGTTTTATTAACTTATTTTTTAAACGTGGCCTTTGCACTCACCAGAGAGTCACAGTGAGAGAGAGGGAGCAAAGTATCTACCCTCAATGGGAAATGGTCACATATCAATCCCCTCTCCTCTATCTCTCCTTTCCTTTGGGATTTTGGGCAAGCATGCACACATGCCCGACAGGTTGTTCTAGTTACAAGGTTCAGTACTCAAACCACATGGTTGGCCATGTGGGATCCAGACACCTTAACCACCAGGCCTCAGTCTAGCCCAAGAAATTTAAAGAAGAAAGCAATCTTATATGTGAATTCATGTAGTTCCTAATTCAGATGTTTCTAATTGCTTTGTGTAGATACAGGTTTCCATCTGATAACATTTTCTTTTTGCATGAGTTATATCCTTTAATATCTTCTGTAGTATGGATCAGCCAATAATCTCTTTCAATCTGTCTGTCTAAAAATATCTTTACTGGACCATGAATTTTTGTTTATCCTTTTTCCGCTAAAGTTTTTTTTATTTACTTCCCTCCTGAGAAGGAAGGGAAAAAGGGAAGGAGGGGCAACTTGGACGAGGTCACACCAGGTTATGATCCACCCTCAGCCTCTCAGTCAGCCAGGACCACAGGCACATGCCTGGCAAGTTCAAGTCGACCTATGATCCATACCCTGGGCCTTCCATCTGGCTGCAGCATCACGCAAGGGCACCCTACTGCCTGCACCACACAGCTGGGCCTAACCCTTGTTTTGAAAAAGGTATTTTTGAAGGGCACAGAATTCTAGGTTGACAGTTTCTTTTTTTCCCCTTTCAGTACTTTAGAGATGTTGCTAACTGCTTTCTCATTTGAACTGCTTCCACTAAGAAGTCTGTTGTCACTCTTGTCTTTGTTCCTTTGCATATAATATGTCTTTTTTCCTTCTGGCTGCTTTGTCATTGACTTTGATTAATTTGATTATGATGTAACTTGGTGTACTTTCTTTCATGACAGTGTTAAACCTCATCTACTGTTAATTTTCATTTCATTACAGTCTCTAGAAGTTTTAGTGTTTCATATCTTATATGTCTCTAGTGAACTTTGAATACATAAAATACACTTACATTAACAATTTTAATATCCTCTAAAAATTGTAACATTTCTCTTAGCTCTGGGTCAGTTTTGATTGACAATTCTCTTCATTATACAGAGTGTTTTTTTCCTGCTCCTTCACACAGCTGGTAATTTTTGACTGGATACAGATTTTATGAATCTTACCTTGTCAGGTACTGTATATCATATTCTGACAAGTCTTTGTAAGCACTGATCAGGAATACAGTTAATTTATATGGAAACAGACTGATCTGTTCAGATCTTCGTTTTATGTTTGTTAGACAGGTCCAGAGCAATAATGAAGGAAGACTTGCCTGAGACTTTTTCTAATGTCCCATATAATCTATACTTTTCTCCATTCCTGGCCATGTGTGAGCAGCAGCCACTGGGCCCTTTGATGCTTTCAGATAGGGAGTTTCTTCATATGTATAACTGATCAATTCTCTGCTGCATGCTCAAGGGGAAGCCTCTATGAATTTTCAGGGGGCTTGTTTTGTTTTTTTTTCCCCTCCTCTGTGCACCTTTCTTCTCCAACAAAGTATATAACTGCCTTAGTCTCCCTGGACTTTTAGTCAAGTTTTTTCAACTCACCTACCCCTGCACTATGCCACCTCAGTCTCTTTTATGGTACCATGGCTGGATCTTTGCTCAAGTTAGTAGCTAAGGCCATTGCAGGGCTCACCTCTTCTGTTTCTCACTTCTCAGGGATAACTGTCCTTCACTGTATGATGTCCAGTGTTTTGAAACTGCTGTCTAACTGGATTTTGGGATTATCATAGGTGGAAGAGTAAATCCAGTTCCTCCTATGCCATAAGCAAAGTCTAGTTCCCTTGTTTTTTCTCCCTATGATGAACCTCAATTCCTCCAAATGACAGTTCAATCATATCCTTTTTTAAAATTGGTAATATGGAAAACCATGAAACATCTTTTTCCAAGCGACCTTAACTGAGTTATTTATGGACCGGCTACTATAGTTGGAATTCTGTTATATACACGGGTGTAGGCAGAAACAACTATTTCATAGAATGATTTTTTTGAATGCCAAAACAAAATAATTCCTTCCAAATAATAAAGTCTTTAGAGTAGTAAACATCAGATCTGACTGGATATTCAACATATAAGCAAGGAGATTAACAACTTTGGAACTGATAATCTCTCATCTATTATGGCAAGAGCTGCCTACCTGATCTTTCTTTATCTCCCGTTTGGTCCCACTCCAGTTTTCCACTGCAAACAGAGTGAGCTGTCCAAAATAAATTTCTGATTACACCATCCCTACCCCCTACCTGTACATCCTGTATGCTGAGTTCAAGCATGTGACTGGTTGCCAGTTGTGTATAGTGCACGTTGATTCCTGTAAGACTCGCAAATACCAGTTCTTCTGGGACTTTATTAATTAAGGATAATCCAATTCCACCTTCTAACTTTACAAGCACCTAAAAGGAACCAAAATATGGCACACAGATTATTTAAAACCTAGCTTGGGTCAGTTTGTGGTGTGGTGGGTTAAGGTAGCTGAATCCCACATTGGGCTGACTGCATGGCTTGAATCCCAGACCTGGCAGCTAAACCACGAGTATGTGTGTGTGCCCAAGATCCCAGAGAGAGATGGAGTAGAAGGGGATGTAATGTGACCATGTCCTCTGGGGGGCTGCTAGCTCACTTTCTCTCTCTCTATTCCTCTCCAAACAGCTCATGCTCCCTAGAGCAAAAATTTGGGCAGGAAAAAAAAAATAAAAAGAATAAACATAATAACAATAAAATAGATAAACCAGTATTTTATCTAGTCAAAATAAAAGGTAGAAAAGAAAAAATAAAAAGAAAATTTTTTAAAATAAGGAGAATATGGGAACCAGCAGTTAGCGTAATGGCTATGTCGCTGGACTCCCACGTAGTCGACCGCGGTTCGCGTCTCGGACCCGGTGGCTTAAATCTCACGCCGGGCGCGTGTGCGTGCGTGCCCAAGATCCCGAGAGGACATAATAACAATAAAATAGATAAACCAGTATTTTATCTAGTCAAAATAAAAGGTAGAAAAGAAAAAATAAAAAGAAAATTTTTTAAAATAAGGAGAATATAACCATAAGAACCAAGAAAATTAAAGGGAATCATTAAATACCACTTGGCTTAACTCTATAAACAGAGGAGAAATTCTAGGTGAATACTGCTGAATCTTTAAGGAATAAATAATTCTGATGTGAGCTGAGCTGTACCCAAGAATTGAAAAAAAAGGGAAAGTTTCAAATTATTTTTGAATATAGCATAAACTGATAACAAAACTCAAGAAAAACTATGTCAGGAACACTATATACCATTTCATTTATGAATATTGAAATGAAAAATCCTCAAGAAAAGTAACAAATAGGGACCAGCAGTTGACGTAAAGGCTATGTCACTGGACTCCCATGTAGTTGACCATGGTTTGAGTCCTGGACCCGGTGGCTTAAACTCATGCCAGGCGCATGTGCGTGCGTGCCCAAGATCCTGAGAGAAGAATGGAGGAGAAGGGATTGCAGCATGGTCATACCCCAGGGGTGATTTCTTGCTTTCTGTCTCTCCATCTCTCTCATGAGCACATAAACTGTATCGCAAAAACCTCTCCAAAAAAGAAAAGAAAAGTAGCAAATAGAATCCAGAAACATTATGAGAATACTTCCTAACAATGTAGTTTACCTAGAATATCCAGGATGGTTCAACACTGGGAAACAGTATCACAATTAATCAAATTAACATGTGTAGAGGGATAAACTATAAATAATTATCTGTAAAATTAAATCCTATTTACATTTGAATTGTTCAACACCCTTTATTATCACCTTACTTTAGCACCACTTATTCTGTTTCCACATAAACTTCAGCTTTCATTTACATATTTACACATTCAGTTGGTAACGACAGTAAGTGCTGGGAGGCAAAACATACTTAGAATTCTATATAGGACAGGAAAAAAAAAAGTCTACACCGAGAAAACCATGGAGCGAAATTCTAAATAACCGAGGATCAAAGAAATAATTTGAGAACATTTAAAACCTACTTCCAATTCCTGCTCTGTATCCGGATTCCTTAATTTCTGCAGTTCTTGTTCAGTAACAGGAAGTTCATCCGTATCATATGACGATCGGTCACTCTTCCGTTGGCAGAAGTCTGTTATCTACAGTCAAATAAAACACCGTATTAAGAGGGCTTCCACTTCTATGGTGAAATCCATTTTTTAAGTAGCTAGTTTATTTAATAATAGACAGACTAGCAGACACAAACACACAGACGAGGGGCCCCTGACATGGTCTCATCAAGCTAAGATTCATCCCAGCCTTCCAGTCACCCAGGATCACAGGTGTGCCTGGCTGTGTTCTGGTGAACTGGGATCAAAATCCCAAGCCTTGTCGCGTGGCTCCAGTATCTTGTAACCGTGCCCTACTGCCTGTACCACTGTGGCTGGGTCATAGTGGAATCCATTCTAACCTATGCCAATTGTGTAGGTCAGAAGTCACTACATGCTTAAGAATCCCAAGGATGCTAATGGCTTCCAAAGCATTGCTAAGGTATGATTTGAGTAATAAAGCAAACTTGGTTTTCAGTCTACATAGCAAACTCAAGTTGTAGACATTATGAGCCTTATATAATAGGATTAGGTATCTCTAAGTGATCTAGAATTAGAGCTCAAGTCAAAATGTGCAAACCTCAAGAGAACACTGCCCTTATTTTGTCTTTTTAAGTGGTATTGTGGATTATAACTTATCACTTTAGAAATGTCATTCCAACATCTTTTCTCCTTACCTCTCACATGACCTAAATCCACAAATCTCTGAGTTCCAGACCTATATTTATAATAACTTTGGGAGATCTTCATGTTACTATCATAAAGCTACCTTAACTCCTCTTTTCCACCCTAAGCTGCTCTGTTTCTATTTTAGTAATCTGGGTTATCATCTTCCTCATTGTTCAAATCGGAATCTTGGGAACCATTCTGGACTCTTTTCTCATTTCCACATTCAACCGAATTACTAAATATGACTGACTCTATTCCTAATTAGTTTTAATTCCTACTTGTTTCTCTCCTTCCTCCTCATGACTATTCTTTGCCCCTTCTTCCCATTCAGGCCACCATAACTTCTCTACATTCCTGCATTAGCCTCCAGCCTGGTCTCTATCTCCAGTTTTGCTCCACTCCAAATCTCTAGCTTTGCAGCCGGAGTGCGTTATCTAAAATGAATTTCTGATCATACCACTCCTCAATGCCTTGTTGCCTTAGAAAATCCACAGGGTCTTTAGTGTGCATCTCAGGGTTTCTGTGATCTAGCCTCTGCTTCTACTGGGTTGTCAAAAAAGTCATAACATATTTTTTTCTATGTAAAAGTGCATCATGGCTTTTCTGATGACCCAATATATTGCTAGCTTTATTTTTACCTTTTTCCATGTGCCAGTTGGGCTAAAAATAACTCTCTCTTACCTGCTGGCCTTCACAGAACGTCCCAAATACTACTATATATTATTTATTTAGTATGTTTGTTGCCACCAACCCTCTCAATTGTAAGCCCCCCCCCCCAAAAAAAAAAAAAACAGGGACAGCTGAATTGTTCAACACCCTTTATTATCACCTTACTTTAGCACCACTTATTCTGTTTCCACATAAACTTCAGCTTTCATTTACATATTTACACATTCAGTTGGTAACGACAGTAAGTGCTGGGAGGCAAAACATACTTAGAATTCTATATAGGACAGGAAAAAAAAAAGTCTACACCGAGAAAACCATGGAGCGAAATTCTAAATAACCGAGGATCAAAGAAATAATTTGAGAACATTTAAAACCTACTTCCAATTCCTGCTCTGTATCCGGATTCCTTAATTTCTGCAGTTCTTGTTCAGTAACAGGAAGTTCATCCGTATCATATGACGATCGGTCACTCTTCCGTTGGCAGAAGTCTGTTATCTACAGTCAAATAAAACACCGTATTAAGAGGGCTTCCACTTCTATGGTGAAATCCATTTTTTAAGTAGCTAGTTTATTTAATAATAGACAGACTAGCAGACACAAACACACAGACGAGGGGCCCCTGACATGGTCTCATCAAGCTAAGATTCATCCCAGCCTTCCAGTCACCCAGGATCACAGGTGTGCCTGGCTGTGTTCTGGTGAACTGGGATCAAAATCCCAAGCCTTGTCGCGTGGCTCCAGTATCTTGTAACCGTGCCCTACTGCCTGTACCACTGTGGCTGGGTCATAGTGGAATCCATTCTAACCTATGCCAATTGTGTAGGTCAGAAGTCACTACATGCTTAAGAATCCCAAGGATGCTAATGGCTTCCAAAGCATTGCTAAGGTATGATTTGAGTAATAAAGCAAACTTGGTTTTCAGTCTACATAGCAAACTCAAGTTGTAGACATTATGAGCCTTATATAATAGGATTAGGTATCTCTAAGTGATCTAGAATTAGAGCTCAAGTCAAAATGTGCAAACCTCAAGAGAACACTGCCCTTATTTTGTCTTTTTAAGTGGTATTGTGGATTATAACTTATCACTTTAGAAATGTCATTCCAACATCTTTTCTCCTTACCTCTCACATGACCTAAATCCACAAATCTCTGAGTTCCAGACCTATATTTATAATAACTTTGGGAGATCTTCATGTTACTATCATAAAGCTACCTTAACTCCTCTTTTCCACCCTAAGCTGCTCTGTTTCTATTTTAGTAATCTGGGTTATCATCTTCCTCATTGTTCAAATCGGAATCTTGGGAACCATTCTGGACTCTTTTCTCATTTCCACATTCAACCGAATTACTAAATATGACTGACTCTATTCCTAATTAGTTTTAATTCCTACTTGTTTCTCTCCTTCCTCCTCATGACTATTCTTTGCCCCTTCTTCCCATTCAGGCCACCATAACTTCTCTACATTCCTGCATTAGCCTCCAGCCTGGTCTCTATCTCCAGTTTTGCTCCACTCCAAATCTCTAGCTTTGCAGCCGGAGTGCGTTATCTAAAATGAATTTCTGATCATACCACTCCTCAATGCCTTGTTGCCTTAGAAAATCCACAGGGTCTTTAGTGTGCATCTCAGGGTTTCTGTGATCTAGCCTCTGCTTCTACTGGGTCGTCAAAAAAGTCATAACATATTTTTTTCTATGTAAGTGCATCATGGCTTTTCTGATGACCCAATATATTGCTAGCTTTATTTTTACCTTTTTCCATGTGCCAGTTGGGCTAAAAATAACTCTCTCTTACCTGCTGGCCTTCACAGAACGTCCCAAATACTACTATATATTATTTATTTAGTATGTTTGTTGCCACCAACCCTCTCAATTGTAAGCCCCCCCCCCCAAAAAAAAAAAAAACAGGGAATGTCTGTTCTACACTAGAATACGCACAGTTAATAGAACTGACCAGCTCTAACAAGTGCTCAATACATAACTGTTGAATGAATGTGCTCATTATTGAGGGCACAGGCCCTGTACCTTTTGGTTCTGTGTGACTAACTTCTTTTAGCTGTAAGGTCTCGGTTTAAATGTTACTTCTCTTACGATGCTCCCCTAATCTCCAAATCCAGGGATACAAATCCTTTCCATATCCCATCCACTCCTACTCTCAAAACACAATTGAACTGTGTGATTACAAACCTCAATCTTCTTGTTGTTAATGTGTTACTACAAATGTAGCAATTATCTAGACTTATATTAGTATAATAACTAATAACACTGATAATATTAACATGCACGGTTAACTGACTTACTCTGTTAACTGCTTTCTACCTAATTTTTATAGTACTTTAATTCTTACAACCTAGTTAAGTAGATCCTAGCCCCATTTTACAGATGAAGACACCTTATCCTCACACCCATCATAAATATGTTCAAAAGGTATTTTTTAAGTGACTTAACCACTGGGGAGGGGTAATAAGAGTTTCATGTTAGTTCGTATGACCAATCGTCACCTGGAGTGCCCTAGTTGGTCCATCTGGGATAACTCTGATGGATAACATTCCAGAACCAGGTCTCATCTTTTGGTTAATAAATTGCTGTTCAGGTGGAACTGGACCCAGAAGCTCCATGGAAGTGTCAGGACCAAGAACAACTTCAGCTCCATCAAATAAGCCAGAAAGCCCACCTTTGGCCTAAAAGACATTAAACACGTTGTAAAAACGGCAAAATACACCAATTCTGACAATTTAATATGCCATTTTAGGCAAGTTACTAAATTTACATTCTATTTTGGAGGTTCATGATCAATGTAGAAAAAGCTTTGCCTATTTAGATAGAAAGCTATGCTGTATGAACTTGAGGAATTATGAAAAAGACATAATTCCATGAATAGAGTATATTGGTTTAACTCTGACTTGCAATAACTTTAAGTCATTAAAATAAACTTTAAAAATTAGTCTGGTCTGGCCTTATAGCCTAATGGTTAAGAGGATGAGATTCCACATGGCTGACTGTGGTTTGAATCAGGGACCCAGCAGCTTGAAAAACACATTGCGGGGACCAGCAGATGGAGTAGCGTTACATCGCTGGATTCCCACATGGCCAATCACAGTTCGAGTCCTGGACTCAGTGGCTTCAAACTCATGCCAGGTGCATGTCCATGCATGCTTAGGATCCCAGGAGAATGGAGGAGAAGGGATTGTAGTGTGGCTATACCCCCTGAGGGGTGATTTCTCACTGTCTCTCTGTCTCTCCAGTGAGTACACATGCCCTATAGCGAAAATCTCTCAAAGAATGAGAGAAAGAAAGAAAGGAAGAAAGAATACACTGAGTGGGAGGCAGCAGGTGGTGTGCAGGTTGAGTCACTGAATTCCCACATGGCTGACCATGGTTCGAGCCTCGATCTGGTGACTTGAGGATCACGCCAGGTGTGTGTGTGTGTGTGTGTGTGTGCATGGCCAAAATCTCAATGTCTGTAATGGAGGACAAGGGATTATAGTGTGACCATCTTCCCGGTGGGTGATTTCTCACTTTCCCTCTCTGTCTCTTTCTAACAAGCACACACACCCTATGGCAAAAACAAACAAACAAACAAACAAACAAACATGCCGAAGCTATGTGGAGAAGAAGGGATTGTGGAGTGACCATGCCCCACTGGGGGCGGGGGTAGGTGTTCTCCTCCCCACCCTCCATGAGTGCACACCCTCTGGCAATTAAAAAAATATTAGCTAGGGAACCAGCAGTTAGCGTAATGGCTATGTTGCTGGATTCCCACGCAGTCGACCGCGGTTCGCGTCTCGGACCCGGTAGCTTAAAACTCACGCCAGGCGCGTGTACATGCATGCCCAAGATCCTGAGAGGAGAATGGAGAAGGGATTGCGGTGTGACCAGCCCCTCTGGGGGGTGATTTCTTACTTTCTGTCCCTGTCTCTGTCTGTCTGTCTGGCGAGCGCACGCGCCCTATAGCAAAAACCTCTCAAAAAAACAGAAAATTAGCTAAATCCAGCTGTTTCTTTGAGTATTCTCATTAGGGTTGCCTAAACACGTGAAATATTCTGAAAATAAAATGAGTATTATCATCATTCAGCTTCCCAAGAGGAAGCAAATTCAACAGCTGAAAACCCCTAAAATATGGTGCATGCCAGGACAACAAACTCGATATTCAAAAGATGGTCCCTCTTTGGGACCAGCAGTTAGCATAATAGCTATGTTGCTGGACTCCCACGTAGTCGACTGCGGTTCGAGTCCCGGACCCGGTGGCTTAAACTCACACCAGGCGCATGTGAGTATGTGCTCAAAATCCCAAGAAGAGAATGGAGGAGAAGGGATTGCAGCATGGCCATTCCCCCTGGGGGGTGATTTCTCGCTTTCTGTCTCTCTGGCAAGCGCACGCGCCCTATAGCAAAAAACCTCTCCAAAAAAAGGAAAAAACAAAAAACAAAAAACAAAGATGGTCCCTCTTTTAAAATAAAATATGGAGCTGCGAATGTCACCTGATGCCCCGTCACTCATGCTTTCAGAGGAAGGCAGCTTTTTGCTACATGCCCTGAGAAAAATGAAGCCTACGGGATGATATCTGCAGGGAGTGAAGACAGGACTAGGGAAGATAATAGCAAAGGGCATCTCAGTTTCCTTCGCTCATTTTAAAATACTGAGTAATGAAAAGAAGACTTTGAGCTGAGCTTATAGGCCAGGTTTCATCACAGACAAAGCTCTATAGAATTGCTGCAAGTTTAGAAAGAAAATACAGATATAGCCTAGTGAGGGAAGTGTCAGAACGTGTTCTAATGCTTTCAATTACTTAGCCTAGTAAGACGTAAACAAGCTTATTTCTCGAACCGGAACACATTTTGCTCTGTTGAATACTGTTATTATAAAGTCATTTACAAGTAGAGAAATGATGAAATAGATAAAAAATAAATAAAAAGAAAGAAAGAAAGAAAGGGATTTTAGGAGGAGGAAAATGCTCCAAGAGAATTGGAATAGATGGGTTTTAGAGAAAACAAGAAGTAAAGTCAGGGTCAGATATGAATCCCAGCAATTATAGGAAGTCCTCTTTTGCCTCTAGAAGTCTGAATTGTATTGCTAATTGAAAATCACAAATCCATTCCAGATGTGTGCTTCATATAAGTAAGCAGCTTGCCTTTGATGAAAAAGCTCAGGGCAACAAAGATAAAGAAAATAAATCTCACCAAATGGCAGTCAGGAGCTCCTCACAGCTTTGCTGTGGAGCGCCACTGCTCTGGAGCATAATCTCTCTAATGAAAGGACAGCCTGGTTTCTGCTAGAGACAAATACACTCAGAGTTCTCTCTCAGGGGCCTAAGGTTCAAGTGTTTATTTTTGCCTAAACCTTGAGCTCACAGAACACATTCTCACATGCTGTTCTGCCACGTGCCCAAACCTCTAAGCTACCTTCTTACTTCACTCATCTCAGATCCACGGCTACCATTCCCACATGAAAGCCAGAAAAGGCAAAAAATCCAAATGTATGGTCATTTTCCAAAGATATATTTACTTCTAAAGTACCTAGTATTGGACCAGCAGGTGGAATGATGGTTAAGGTGCTGGACTCCCACATGGCTAACCATGGTTCAAGTCCTGGACTCAGAGGCTTGAAACTCACACTGGACATGTGGGCGTGCACGCCCAAAATGGAAGGAAAATGGAGGATAAGGGACTGTGGAATAGTCATCTCTCTGGGGGGGGTGATTTCTTGCTTTCTCTCTCTCTCTGCCTCTATCTCTCCAGTGTGTGCGTGTGCATGCTCTATAGCAAAAATCAATCTCTTAAAATAAAATATAGTACCTAGGATTGTATCACGGGCTAGATTGTACGAGTAAAGGACAGAGGAAATTGTCTAGCAATCTTCATTCTGACGTTCACTTCAACTTACTCAGGCACCATTCAGAATGCAAAAACCAGGAAGGGCATGCACGAGCTGTGATGATTTCTCGGCAGCCTACAAAACACTTCACAAAAGCCTGCTGTGGGTATGGTCCCAAATTCACAGTTTGAAACTATCCATCTAACTTAGTGCTGAACTTCTAGTCGACATTTCGCTTTCTTTCTTCTTTTCTTCTTCCCTTCTCCCCTCCCTCCCTCTCTCTTTCTTCTTTCTTTTAAAAATCACACAGGTAACTTATGTCATCAAAGAAAAAAATCCATATTAGCAAATAAAAAAATCCCATCACCCAGAGGCAATTGTCCTTAAACATTTGCTATATATACAACCTTCAAGAACATTTCTTGTATAAATATACAAAGAGGCACAACAAAAGTTTCTTGATGTGGGGCCAGCAGGTGAAGTGATGGTTAAGGTGCTGAACTCCCACGTGGCTGATCATGGTTCAAGTCCCAGACCTGGTAGTTTGCTTTCTCACTTTCCTTTTTTCTTTTTTTGGTCGAATTGAAATAAATAAATAAAAATAAATAAACAATTCTTTTAAAAGAAAGTTTCTTGATGTTCTTTTAACTAAAATGGAATAACAGAATACATACTGCTCTATAATTAATTTTTCCCATTTAACAAGTTACCATGTCTAACCTAGTTGAGACTCTTCTCAGGGAAGGCCCAACCACTGCTTGCTCCAACTCGGAATGCCCAGAAGTACCAACCTGGACAACCAACCCATGTAACCCACAGGTCAGTTTTCCTTCTCGGAAACTCCACGTCTGAGTTGTGCTTCGCCTGCGGTCAGGCTTTCTTAGCATCAGTGGCTCATATCTGGAAAAGGAAAGTGCAGAATCGTCTAAGTCACAAAGTCAATTATTTCAGGCCTAAAAATAATAGGAAGATCATGGACGTGCTCTTCTTCTAATACCTTTGCTCTTAAAATCTAATGGGCACAGGGTCAGCAGGTGGCCTAGTGGTTAAGATGCTGTACTCCCATAGGGTTGACTATGGTTTAAGTCTTGAACCCGGCAGATTGATAATCACAGGAGGTACATGTGCACGGATGCCCAAAATCTTAGGAAGAGAATGGATTGCAGCATGGCCATGCCCCCCAGAGGGTGATTTCTCTCTTTCTATCTCTCTGTCTCCTCTAGAGAGTGCATGTGCCCTATGGCAAAAAACTTAAGAAAAAAAAAAATCCAATGGGCAGTTAGGTTGAATTCTATGGTGGCTAGGCATTTCTTTCTCTTTTCCTTATTAGTTTATTTTTTATCTTTACTATAGGGCATGTACACTCACTGGAAACTGGCAGACAGAAAAAAAGAGTGAGAAAGAAAGTGAGAAATCACCCCCCGACCCACTCAGGGGCTGGAGTGTTGCGCATGAAACAATCCTTTCTCCTCCATTCTTCTCTTGGGATTTTGAATATGCATGCACATGTGCCTGACTGGCCCTAGGAAATAGGAATAAAACAAAATAGAAAGCAATGAAGGAATTCAGAGTAATTAAGACTTTAAAAATTCAAAACACAACACTGTAAAATAGGTTTTCACACTCTCACAATGACAAGTTATTATGCGGTATGGGATGGAATATCTTCTAAATATATTTAAATCTCTTCAGGGACCAGCAGTTGGCATAATGGTTATGTGGCTATGTCGCTGGACTCCCATGTAGTTGACTGCGGTTCAAGTCTTGGATCCGATAGCTTAAACTCACACTTGTGTGCCCAAGATCCCAAGAGGAGAATGGAGAGAGGATTGCAGAGTGGTCATCCCTCCAAGAGGTGATTTCTCGCTTTCTGTCTCTGTCTTTCTGGTGAGCGCACATGCCCTATAGCAAAAACCTCTCAAAAGAAAAGGAAAAAAAAAAAAAAAAACACAAAAAAACCAACCTCTTCAGTAGTCTTAGTAGTCTTTTTCTGGTCTTATTTCTATTTTTTTTTTTTAATGATAGAAAGTGAGTGCACACCACAAGAGAGACAGAGAAACAGAGAGGGGAGCACTATCAACAGGGTCTCTTCGCACTGGGATCGACTCTGGCCCACCCTCCAGCTCCCCAGGATGCTGGGCTGAGGCAGATGCAGAAATCTGAACCCACTGTCAGTCACATGGCTTCCAGCCTTGTAGGGCACTCTTGTTACCACTGTGCCATTGCAACCAGGCTCTTATTTTGTGTTTTATCTTGTCATCTACAGTTTCTTTGAAAGTAAATAATCAACTGAAAACAAATCAATTTATTTCATGGAGAAACTGAGGTATGGGCTAACAAAGAACTTATCCAAACTTACAGAGCTGATTTTAATTCAAGGAGCTACTCAAAAAAACGCATTTGTGTGCTGGATAGTTGAGCAGTGGTGAAACATAATATTCTGTGAGGCAGATCTACATGGGAAGGTTACCAGTTCAAACCTGGAGACCTCCCTAAACACACCAGTGTGTGCATGCCAATGATCCTGGGCTGGATGGGGCTAGTCTGCAGTGTCAGAACCCTATTGGGAGTGTTGTAGCTCTCTCTCTCTGAAAGAATTACAAACTTAAAACATGTACACACACATACATTTGACTATTCTCTTAACAATTCAATGTCTGTTTTCAAAAGATTTAACAAAATTATTAGAAAGATTAAAAAAAAAAAAAAAGAAACTATCCACTTCTAGGGAATAAGGATAGATGAAGTTTGGATGAAAGAAACAGTCACTTTAAAAATATATGTATTTTTTGCCACAGGGTGCATGCTTGCCAAAAAGATAGACAGAGACAGAGAAAGGGAAAAGTAAGAAGTCACCCCCTAGGGGGGATTGGCCATGCCATAATTCCTTCTTTTCTACTCTCCTCTTGGGATTTTAGGACTACATGCACATGTGCCAAGTGTGATTTTCAAGCCACAGGTCCAGCATGCAAACCATGATGGACTATGTAAGTGCCCAGTGCCTTAACCACCACACCAAATGCTGTCCCCAAGAAATATTCACTTTTCATACATTTCTTTTTATTGCTTGAATTTTTTTATTATTGGTAGGAATACTGTCACAATAGCTTAAAAATATAAAATCGGGGGACCAGCAGTCAGCATAATGGCTATGTCGCTGGACTCCCACGTAGTCGACCGCAGTTCGAGTCCCGGACCCGGTGGCTTAAATTCATGCTGGGCGCGTGTGTGCCCAAGATCCAGAGAGGAAAATGGAGGAGAAGGGATTGTGGCATGGCCGTCCCCCCTGGGGGGGTGATTTCTCGCTTTCTATCTCTCTTTCTCTCTGTCTGTCTGGCGGGTGTACGCGCCCTATAGCAAAAACGTCTCCAAAAAAATAAAAATTTAAAAAAATAATAAAATGAAAGGCCCAATACTCGCATTTGGAAATATGACAGATTTCTGTCATTGAAGAAAAATACAAATGTAAATACAAATTCTTGGTTCATTTATTAAACCCTTGTATTTTGGTGTGCATTTTCTCTGAGTCTGAATATGAAAGCAGTTGCAGCTGACTCAAAGCTGCCTAGAAAATTACCTGTTGTCAGTTACTGCAGCCAGACCAGCAATGTCCAGGATGGCAGAACCCTCAGTGGAGCGGGCAGCAGAGGGCTTACTGGGGTTGTGAGGAACCGAAGAGCCCTCATGGGCCAGCATTCCTGTTCCCGTCATCCTCCACAGCTGAGAACGCTTTCCTGGTTCCTGTCGGCAGATTGTACAAAAGGCAGAGTAAATGTGTGCGGCCATAGTGAGGTCCTCACTTCATGAGCTTCCTGTGAGAGGCGAGTGAGTTCTCGAAGAGGAATGGTGCTGTGACACTTCTCCATGTTACATAAATGCCTAACTCAAACTTCCACCGCTGTCAACCCCTCATAGCACTGAAAATGAAATATGCTGAACTACTGAACCAAATAACCAAAAATTTAAAAATACACTTAATACTTATGTTTTTTTCCTTTTTAAAATGAGGGGAAAAAAATAGCTGGGCAATCACCTCCAATAGCTAAACTGTCACAATCACCAATGTTTCCGAGGGTCGCCCTTAGGTGCCCTGATCTTAAAGAAGGATCCAAGTATGTAGAGTGATTAGATGATATTCTTAATATCTAATCACTGGTAGTCCTCATAATTCACAGATATCCAGAATTTATCAAAAGCCCCCAACCCACAATGTTTATAAAGGAAGTTCAGATGAACAATGTGGGGATTAGGGACACCCACCCTATGCACAGTAAAAAATCCACACATAACTTCTTTTTAATTTCCTATAGGGAACATGAGCTCATCAGACAGAGAGAAAGTGAGAAAGCACCTTCCAAGGAGGGATGACCACACCACAAACCCTTCTCTGTTCTCCTCTTGGGCACACACACGTTCTGCATATTTTTCAAGCTACTGGGTCTAGGACTTGAACCACACAGTTGACCATATGGGATCCAGTCACTTTTACCACCATGCCACCTGGTTGGCCCCAGATATACCTTTTGATTTCCCCAAAACTTGAGTGCAGGGGCTAGCAGGCGGCCTAGTGGTTAAAGTGCTGACTATATGGTTGAGTCTCAGACCCAGCCACTTGAAAAACACTCCAGGTACGTGTGCGTACATGCCCAAAATCCTGCGAGGAGGATGGAGATAGGATTGTATTATAACCATACCACCTGAGAGATGCTGTCTTGCTTTCCCCCTCTCCCTCTCTCCCCCCATCTCTGACAAACATGCAGGCACTATAGCAAAAACAAACAAAAAACAAAAAACAAACAAAACAAACAAAAAACAAAACAAAACAAAATTAATTACAAATTGCCTACTATTGATAAGAAGCCTTAACTGATAAACACATATGCATAAGCACATATTTTCTAAGTTAATGTATTATATACTGTATTCTTACATTAAAAGAAGCTAGAGAAAAGAAAATGTCATTAAAAAAGTCATAAGGAGATAAAATACACTTATAGTATCTACTAAAAAAATCCACATGTAAGGCAATCTGAGCAGTTCAAACTCCAGTTATACAAGGGTATGCTGTGTGAATTGTCCAATTTTTACATGTTCATTACATACAATGTAAAGGTGGGTGTAGTGCAAGGTATATACTAAATTGATTGCCACTCATACTTTTTTTCTTTCTTTCTTTCTTTGGAGAGGTTTTTGCTATAGGGAGCATGCACTCGCCAGAAAGACAGAGAGAGGCAGAGAGACAGAAAGCGAGAAATCACCCCCCAGAGGGAATGGCCACGCCGCAATCCCTTCTCCTCCATTCTCCTCTCGGAATCTTGGTCATGCACATACATGCACCGGGCGTGATTTTAAGCCACTGGGTCCAGGACTCGAACCACAGTTGACTATATGGGAGTCCAGTGACATAGCCATTACACTAACTGCTGGTCCTGCCACTCATTCTTAATATATATTCTACTTAGGAATATTTTATAAACATCAGTTAGGCATCCAGGTCAATCATGAAAGCCAATATAATACAATATATACTAGAAGTAGTAATAACAATAAACAGTATTACTGAGAATCTATGTGCCAGGCATTGGTCCATGGGATTTATACATATTAACTCTTTACCCCACCCCCCAAATCCAGTGAGTATATGTTATTACTCTCTTTGTTTACAGATAAGGAACTTAGGGCTCAGTGAAATGAAGTAACTTCCCGTGGTCATTTAACTGTACGTGGTAGGGCCTAGATCTGAAGTTCTATAGCTCGATTCCATAATAAGCACGCTTAACCTCCTTAGATGCTGGCCTCTGAGAAACAGTCCATATAGTTCCACTTCAGTAATATCTACGATCCAGCTAGACCTGTCAGGATCACACACTACTCCCAACTAGAAGCTCCTCCAAAGCAAAAGTCATGGGGTACAACAAATTCATTCACGTACTATCTCTGTACTAGAAGACAGCTTTTGTGTACATTCTACAAAACAAAAACTACCAAAACGCTGCAAGGCCAGGATTTGAGACTCAGTTGCATTGTTTATGAGCAACATGACCTGGGACAAACTACTTAATCTCTTAGCACCTCTGCCTCCTGATCTGTCAAACTGGAAAATTAAGTGACCTATTATAGTTATAAGTATAACAAATGCAAGGTACTTAGCAAATGCCTGGCACAGCGTATGGACTCAATAAATGTTTGCTATGTTAGTATCATTATATTTATTTATGCAGCACTTTATGAACATTATTTTAGTTGATCCTTTTAATAAGCCTGCAAATGAAGCTCAGAGAAGAATGGGAAACACCAGAACCATTCAGACTGGGGAAAGATGCTATGCTCTTTGTACCAAGTGCTACTGCCTCCTATGCTTGCCAAGAGAGAACACTGAGCTGCATGTTTCCACCTCCGATTCCTACATACTTGCTTTTCTGTTCACATTAAAAGAATATATCTCAGGGCCAGCAAGTGGTATAGTGGTAAAGGCACTGGACTGCCACATGGCCAACCATGGTTCAAGTCCCAGATTTGGCGGCTTGAAACTCACACTGGATGTTGTGTGCATGTGTGCCCAAAATCCTGAGAGGAGAATTGAGAGGGACTGCAGTGTGGCCATCCTCCCTACTGCATGATTTCTCATTTTCTGTCTCTTTGGTGAGCGTACATATCCTATATCAAAAAAAAATCTCTCCAATCAATCAATCAAACAATAAAAAGAACACATCTGTCTGTAGCACCAGGATCAACATGGAAAAGCACCTCAATTACCTGGTGACACAGATGCCTGAGTGAGTACAAGTTTTCAAACAGAGATTTCTTTATTGCTTATCCCTGGGTACAGGCCCATCATAATTTGGAAACTACCAAAATTTCCACTTAAAGCCGAAATGCATCATTCTCCTTCTACTTCCCTTGTCCCTTTCCCTAACAACTTAGTCCTAAAGCCTTTAGATGGAATGAAGGAAGGCAGAAGTCCATGGGGACTTTATATGTTGGGGTGGGGATCATGGTAGCCTAGCGTGGGATGGGTGAAGTCCATGTGGGACAAGGAAGACATCTATATGGGTGATGAGGCAGCCAGGGTGGGTCACCAAAGTCCCAGGTGGGTAGTGCTGACACCCGTGCCCAAGAGCTGTGGAGTGGAGCCTAACTGGAGCATCAGAGAGACAGAGGTGAAGAGGGCACTTTTCGAAGGGTAGAGTTGGAAGGGGGACTGACCAGCATGTGGAGATCAGAGCCCAAGGAAAGTAACCACATTGGTGATGGACAGCCATGGTATCAGAGGATAAGTTACATTATGGGGAACTGATCAAATCAAATCATTCTCAGTGCTGGACAAGAGAATTACGAATACAGAAAGGGTGAAAATTAGAATGGCCTTTGTGATGTTGGACTAGAATCAGAAATACTAGAGTGAATTACTGGTTTTTCATATATAAATTGACATAAATACGTATGTGCTATAAATTTGTATATAAAGTACACACTGTATGCAGATATGTATATATACACAGATAAAACCCTTAGCTCTCTCCTCTGAGAGCTTGGGAACAGCAACAAAGCACACATAGTACACATGTCTCATGTTTCTGAATTCTAGTCCCTAATTTAAAAGATCATTAAGGGAAAAGAACATTTCTCTAATATGATTTGAAAAGAATGTCTAATTACTTTTTTGATGTCTTTTTCTTTCTTTTAAAAATTTATTTATCAAGAGAGAGACAGACAGAGACAGAAAGAGAGAAGGCAGTCAATAGAGTCTTCACCCCACTGTCTTCCTTCAGCCTTGCAGCTAGCCAGGACCACAGGTGTGCCTGGGGTGTTCAAGGAGAGCCATGATGCAAATTCAGAGCCTTCCCAAGGCCTGCAGCATCACACAGTAGTCAGTGTCATTACTGCTGGTGCCACTGTGGCAGGGTCTACTTTTTTCTTTTTTTTAATACTGACTTTAACTCTGCAGTCAGCACAAAAAAGGGACATTTTTGTCAGTTTCATAGTTTTTCGATTCAGTTTAAGGAAATGATTAAGGAAGTATTGCAATACAAAAATGCGGTAATGAAAAAGATACATCCCCCCACATTCAAGAATTAAGTTCTCCATAAAGGGCCTCAACGAGAAGAGGGTGAACCTACAGCAGGCATCATGGCAGAGTGGGAACAAAGAATTGGCGCTTTCAAGACTCCAGTTCCGTACTTTGAGCAAACCATTTAACTGAAGTTTCCATTTCTTCATCTGTAAAACAAAGACTCTGGACTAAGTAATCCTGACCCCTTTCTAGCTCAAAAACCTTCTTCTAAGCTCCCATTTCTAAGCTTTCTTACCTTCTTCTTTAAAATGACTCTCTGTGTCTTTGGTGAGACATCCAGGACGAGCTCTGCACGGGTAATGGCCTTGTTGGAAGCAACAGGTCTTCCTGTTCCTTCCTGCAAACTAGAATTATAAAAATTAGTAATAAGTACACATGCACATGTAAATATACATGAACACTCATACATATATATCTAAGTATTCAAAATCAAATGTCTAAAGTCCCTATTAAAGAAGAAAACAATTTAATGCATAGAAGACAAAGTTTGATTCAAGGAGCAGAAAGATTAGAGTTGTCTATTTTTTTCCTGCATAGTTAGACCAATTTGTTCTAAAAAATACTAGGATTGGGAACCAGCAGTTAGCATAATGGCTATGTTGCTGGACTCCCACGTAGTCGACCGTGGTTCGCGTCCCGGACCCGGTGGCTTAAAACTCACGCCGGGCACGTGTGCGTGCGTGTCCAAGATCCCGAGAGGAGAATGGAGAAGGGATTGCAGGTGACCATCCCCCCTGGGGGGTGATTTCTCGCTTTCTGTCTCTATGTCTCTCTCTGTCTGTCTGGTGAGCGCACGCGCCCTATAAGCGAAAATCTCTCCAAAAAAAAAAAAGAAAAAAAGAAATACTAGGATTTTCCTTTCAACTGATAATTTTAGTGACTTAAAATTCAGATGTAAAATGATGAACATTTATCTCTGGAGGTCAAAAAACAAACAAAAATAAATAAATAAAAACAAACAAACAAAAAAACAACAAAAAAAACAAGTCAGACATCCCAAGGAACTAAAAATGAGCTCTACTTTGCCAGGCAGGAGATCCTCATCATTTCACCCTCAAGTCATATAGGAAATGAGAAGTTCCTTTAGACTGAAAAGAGTTTATAACCATCTTCTTCTAATCCAACTGTGTTATATTTCTCTGTGGCTTAAGAATCATACGTTTTTGGGACCATCAGATTGCATTGTGGTTACATCACTGGACTCCTAGGAAGTCAACTGCTATTTGAGTCCTGGACCCAGGGGCTTTAAACTCGTGTCGGGCATATCTGTGCACATGTCCAAGACCTTGAGAAGAGAATGGAGGAGAGAGGATTGCAGCTCGGCCATCCCCCTGGGGGATGATTTCTTGCTTTCTGTCTCTATGGTGAGCGCACAAGCCCTATAGCAAAAATATCTCTCAAAAAAAAAAAAAAAAAAAAAAGGAATACTAAGCTTTATAGAACATTGCAGTCTGGCCACACCGGGGTATTTGGCTGAGCCTTTATCTAGATTATTCCCCAGTTTTCATTTATCTCAATTCTCAAAAAATGTATTTAAAAATCTAGAGTTAAAAACTAGTCTTCATGACACCAAAAGCACAAATGACAAAAAAAGTAGACAAATTTTATCAAAATGAAAAACTTTTGTACTTCAAAAGATACCATCAAAAAGTAAAAAGAGCAGTCATGGTAGCATATGCCTATAAACCCCAGCTATTGAGGAGGCTGAGGTAGGAGGATCGCAAGTTTGAAGCCAGCTTGGGTAACAGCAAGACTCTGTCTCAAAAAAAAAAAAAAAAAAATTAAAAAGATAACAGATCGGGAGAAAATATTTGCCATTCTTGTATTTGCTAAGAACTGGAATCAGACTATGTTTTTTAAAAAACTTATAATTCAATAATAAAAAGGCAAACATTTCCATTTTAACATGAGAAAAGAATCTGCACAATTCTTTAAAATAAAAGATATAGAATTAGCTAATAAGCACATAGGTAGATGTGCAAAATCATTAGTTACTAAGAAAACGCAAATCAAAACCATAATGAGAGGGACCAGCAGTTAGCGTAATGGCTATGTCGCTGGACTCCCACATAGTCAACCGCAGTTCAAGTCCCGGGCCCGGTGGTTTAAACTCACACTGGACGTGTGTGCATGCGTGCCCAAGATCCCGAGAGGAGAATGGAGGAGAAGGGATTGCGGCGTGGCCATACCCCCAGGGGGTGATTTCTCGCTTTCTGTCTCTCTTGTCTCCCTCTGTCTTTCTGGCGAGCACACGCGCCCTTATAGCAAAAACCTCTCCAAAGAAAGAAATAAAAAAAAAAAAAGAAAACCATAATGAGAGATCACTTCATACCTTGTAGGACAGGTATGATAATAATAAAAGTGAAAAATAAAATGTATTTATAAGATTTTGGAGAAATTAAAACCCTGTACATTACTGGTGGAAAATAGTATGGTGGCTCTTCAAAACATTAAACACAGGGAACAACCCTTGATGTGGTGTTTAAAGTGGCTTAATCCCACATAGCTCAATGTGCAGTTTGAATTCCATACCCACCAGCTTGAAAATAACACCGGACATATAAGCTCAAAAATCCTGAAAAGAGGGAGAAATGGTAGAGAAGGGCTTGTAGCGTGACCATTTTCCTTGGGTAAGTGCTTTCTCAATTCTCTTTCTCTCCCTCCCTCCCTTGAGCACACATGCCCTCTGGAATTTTTTTTTAAGTTAAATACAGAATTACCATAAATCCTAGAAATTCCATTCCTAGGTATAAATACAAAAAAATCGGAAAACAAGTACTCAAACAAATACATATACAGCACTTTTATAGCAGGACTGTCCTTCACAATGGTCCAAAGGTGGAGACAATCTAAACATTTACCCACAGATGAACTGTATCAACAAAATGTGATGTGTATGTGTGTGTGCCTGTGTGTATGTATATATATAAAATCAAACATTAGCCATAAAAAAAAATGAACATTTTTTCACAAAAAGAATGAAGTAGTGGTACAATGTGGATGAACCTTGGAAACATTACACCAAATGAAAGAAGCCAGACACAAAGGTCACTTACATGATCCCATTTATATTAAATATTCAGGACAGGTAAATCCACAGGGACTGAGAGCAGACTGGTGGTTGCCAGGGTCTGGGAGAAGGACTGAATGGGGGGCAAACACTGCATGGGTTTGAGCTGTCTTTTCAAGGTGAAAGAAATGTCTTGGAACCAGGTACAGGTACTGGCTACACGACACAAATGTATTAAATGTGACTGAGTACTGACCTACTTAATTCTTTTCCTTCCTTTCTTTCTTTTTTCAGTTTATTTATTTATTTATTTATTTATTTATTTATTTACCTCAGGGCACATATACTTGCTGGAGAGACACAGAGACTGTGAGAGAGGGAAAGTAAGAAATCATCCCTAGGGGGATAGCCATGCTGCAATTCCTTCTCCTCTATTCTCTTCTCAGGACTTTGGGCACCCAAGCACTCACACATCTGGTGTGTTTTTTAAGCTGGCTGGGGTCTGTGACTCAAACAGAGTTGGCTGTGTGGGGTCTAGCTCCTTAACTACCATGCCACCTGTGGGTCCAAACTACTCATTTCTAAATACTTAATTTTATGCTATGTGATTCACCTCAAGAAAAACAAAAACAACATTAGGAAAAAGAACTAGACTTTGGGTCAGCAGGTAGTGTAGTGGTTGAAGTACTGGAATCCCACATGGCTGACTGCAGTTGAGTCTCAGATCCAGCAGGAAAACTACACCAGGCACGTGTGTGTGAGTACCCAAATCCCCCAAAGGAGAAGGAAATGCGGTATGGTCATCCCCCTTGGGGCTGATTTCTCACTTTCCCCCTCTCTATCTCTGGTGAGTACATACATTCTATTGCAAAAGCCTCAAAGAAAGAAAAAATGAGTCTTCTTCCCCATTATTAGTTTCCTGCGAGAATGCAAAGAAGTAATATCTAATACACTCCAAAAGAATGTTCAATCTCTTAGCACACCCAGAGCATCCTAATTGTATTATTAGATTCAGCAAACCAAGATTCCCAGGAGCTTCTCTTTTTATCTCTTCCATATTGGTTCAAACTGTTATGCTCATAATCCTTCATCAGTATTCTTAAGTTTAAAAGCTTAGCAACTGTAGGAATCTACAGAACATACAGAGAAAAACACAACTAGTAACCAGATTTAGAACTGATTCTTCAGGCACTAAATCTTAAGCATGGCACACTGCTAAATGTGCAATCTTTAAAAACAAAGAAGAAATACTATTCGCTTAATTATTGCAAGATAAAGACCTCAGCACCATCATTATTACCAAAGGAAACGGCAACAGACAAGGGAAAGAATGGCTATTCTCTGCAAACTCAATTCTTCTTTATCAGTGAAATTGGGACTCTAGGCAAATGAGAAAGATGATGCAAAGATCCAGATTATTTTGTGGGCTCTAGGCACAGGAAACATCTCACTCGTATGCAAAATTATTCTAAACATTTTGAGAAAAATTTATATTTGTAACGCTAAAGATTCAGCTATTTTCCAATTCTTCATGGGCCAACATTAAAATCGGCCTTGCAGCTTTAGCACAGAAACACTAAGTGACATTTATGTGCTGGCAGAATGAGTACTTTCTGAAAGCCCAGTGCTTTGAATCTCTATGTGCCAATCTAACAGCAGAATTATAGTAGAATAAACTTGATATTCTTCTACTAAGTTTTCTGAATACAACTAGTTACACAACAGTGAAGATTATAATTCTAAGACAACTGGAATTATTGTAAAGTTACACAACTATACTTGGGTTTTGCTAAATATTAATATAAGACCTTTAGGAGTCTGCTTAATCAGTATTCTCAATGAGGGAGGAAGTCAGTAGCAACTAATGAAGATTAGTCAGTACTAACTTGAGGAAAGAGGCAAAATAGACTAATAAATAGCAGAAAGAATATTTAAGAAATACATAAAAACTAAAGCAAAAGAAATTTAAGGTATTATACAAATAACATCTTAAAGGAGGAGTTGTTCAATACTAGAATGGATTATGGCAGGAGATCTAAAAATAGAGTAGCCTTGCTTCTTCAGATAGATTTTAATCTAGCCAAAAGACAGAGTTTAGACTAAATGACCTCTTGAGATAGACCCTGAAGCCAAGATTTGGTAAAGTATAAAGGAGTCTTCCTTCATACTTTGGTCTCCTGAGATACTGCTTAAAATTTCAAACCAATTAGTAATCAAAACCTCCTGCTTTACAAGCACAGTAATTCAAGTCAAGCTCCATAGCCTGGTGGTTAACAGAGCCAAATCCCACAGGGCTGACCACACAAGTCAAATGCCAGACTCAGTGGCTTGAAAAACATGCCAAGAGTCTATAAGTGCATGCCTGAAATCCTGGCAGGGTGGAGAAATGGAAGAGAGGGAACTGCTGTGTGACCACGCATCATTGGGGTATGCTTTCTCTCTCTCCCCACCCATCTCTCTGACAACTGCATGCAATTTCTGGCAAATTAAAAAAAAAGAAAGAAAAAAGAATAGTAATTTAAGCTAGAATTACCCAGAGAATGTGTATGTAGCAGCAATGTAGATGAAGTTTTCATAGTAAAGCTGTCGGTTATCCTGAAAGTCATTCATGTTACAGTTAAGCTCAGAAGAACCTGCCCCTTTAACAGTCAGAGTGATAAAAGGTGGCAGGGTGGGTTCGTCCCAGGCATAATCCAGTGAAGTCATGGGCTTCACTTCGGTTCGGAGCCTTGGTTCAGCAACACCATGCTGCGTAAAGACAACCGGGACCTATAGCAAAGAGGACAAAGAGAACTTTTACTCAGAGTGGCGATATTGGAAAGTGAGTCAGTGCTTCATTTAAATTCTAGAACCTTTCCAAAAGAAACCCGATATAGAGATTAATCACCAATGAGGTTCTCACTTCTTTAATGCTTTTGTAATCATCTTACAAAATCAAAAAAACCCATCAATTAAAGAGCATGGGCTGTAGTCTATTAGATAAAGGGCTTTAAGAAGCTTTTTCAAGTTAAATATCTAGGAGAAGCAATTCTGTTCTTTTAATGGCATGTCTTCTACCTTAACTCCCCTATGAGACAGTATGAATACAGGAAAAAAAACTTTGGAATTTGGCAACGTATTACATATAAGTCACATACTATAATCCAAAGGCATAGTTTACAGTAGAATCTAATGATTTCTATTTTAGCTTTACTTGGAGGATTTATAAACATGCTCACTGTCAATAACCAACAGCACACTTGTCTGTTCACATTGCCATCGGACAAGCTGACCCTTTCTCCATCTGTATGCAATGCCTATAGACGGCATCATGTCAACCAAACACTCTGGTCAGAGTATGTTTGGGGCTCCACAAGGTTACTTCTGCCGGAATGAGGCTGCCCAGCAATTAAAATAACTAGGAGGGGACCAGCAGTTGGTGTAATGGCTCTGTCACTAGACTCCCATGTAATCAACTGCAGTTTGAGTCCCGGACCCGGTGGCTTAAATTCATGCCGGGCATGTGTGCGTGTGTGCCCAAGATCCCAAGAGGAGAATGGAGGACGAGGGACTGTGGCGTGGCCATCCTCCCTGGGGGGGTGATTTCTTGATTTCTGTCTCTCAGTCTCTCTCTGTTTTTCTGGTGAGCACACGCACCCTATAGCAAAAACCTCTACCCCCCCAAAAATAATAATAACCAGGAGAAACCATCTCCTAATGGTAAGAATTTCTATGGTTATCCGGCCATAGAGATCGTATTTGTACAACTTCTTTTAAACCCAGGTTTAAAATGTATTCCAACGTTATCCTAAGGACTGCATATACTCTACCCTGTTCCAAACATGAAACAGTCAAACCAGCTCTCATTTTCCCTAGATACCTTAGAAAAGTTGTCAATTCTGAAAGGAGGGGGTAGCTGATCTGTGTCACTGAATGAGATCCTGTATGTAGCTCCTCGGAGAGTAATTTCTACTCGTAGGAAGAAGCATTTTCCCAGGGTATCTCTGCAGAATAAAGGAACAAACGAGGCAGCATGAGATGGAGGAAACAGGCTGCAGTTCACTTTCTTCACACTCCTCACAATCTCAACACCACTTGGACCTCAGTTGATACCAACGAACCTATAGCCTGTATTTTTTTTATCCTATTAAAAAATGGGAAATTGAGCATATAATCACAAAACTGGTTTTCTAATTTTCTCATTTCATTAACATTTATTAACAATGTACGTGTGTATAAATATACAAGGGGACATCAAAAACTTTGTGGAAAAAGGCATTAAAGGCTAAATTTATTTTGGTGCATAAGATGTTAAAGCCCATAAATGTTTTTCTTCATAATACATATTTTTCATGAACTATTTGAAGAATCTAAATGGACACATACATATATATACACATTTATATATTGGTAATCACTGAAAAAAACGGAAAGCTTGTCTTTTTTTAAAATTTGTGACAAAATAAATTTACACACACCAGAGAGTGAGAGAGAAAATGAGAGCATGAGAGGGAGATAAGCACTCTACAATGTCTGATCAAGCTGCAATCCCCTTCCTCAATCTTCCAGCACACTGGGCACTCACACGCATATTTCCAAGACTGTTTCAGGCAGTCATGGCCAGGGATTTGAACTGTGGTCACCATGTGGGATCTAGCTTATCTTGAGCAGCCCATTACCACTGTGCTATGGACCAACCTGGCTGGAAAGCTTGTCTTTACAGAAGACCATCAGTTAACACACGTACACAAAAATAAGAGAATTAGAAAAAGCACTATTTTGTAGCCACTAATATAACTGGTTGAGGGACTGGTCCCGCAATCTTGTGGTTAAGGGAGCAGAATCTGACACGGCCAACTGATTTGAATCCCAGCCCTGATGATTTGAAAAATATGCAGGCTGTGTGTGTACATGCACCCCAAACTCCTGGCAGGATGGAGAAATGGAGTAGAAGCAATTGCAGTGTGACCACACCCATTAGACTTTTAACCTTTTAGACCATGACAACTACACAATGGTAGTAGTTGTCCTTTCAGTTCATTCCATCAGGAAGCTCACTCCTATTTCCCTGGACTTTGCAAGTTCTAAGACCTTCATCTGAACCAAAAATACATGTGCCCATTTTACACAGAGCAGTTAAAGGCTTACTATTTATATTACTGAACTTTAAACAAGGCACTTTTTATCTATATTTAGAGCCTCAAACTTACCTCATGTTGATATGGAAGGAATTATTCTTATTGACTTCAAAGCCTCCAGACCAAATACAATTGGGGACATCCATCAATCTGACACATAATAGCTGATCATAGTCATTCCGAGGCCAGTGAAAGACCACACTGGAACCAGGAAGGGTAGAAATATAACCTTCAGGATTGGCTGTCCCCTAAAATACACAGAATCACTCGTTTTAGTCAATAATCAATTTAAGACACGGCAAAAGTTTACTGAGAACCTACTGTGAACCTCGCTCTCTTCCAGGAGTTTTTTGGGTAGCAAAAGCATAGAACAAGTTCTCACATCACAGAACTTACAATCTTGATTGGAGATAAGCCACAATATTAAAATTTACTGTGTCATTAAATAAGCACTAGTTGTTCTTCCAAAGCAAGCTGCTTACCTGTCCCCTGGCAAATTCCCTTTGTGCAAATGCGAGCTTGTGAGATGATTTATTATCTAGCAGGTAACGAGGAGCGAAGATGACCATGCAGGTGTCAATATATCTACCTCGACCTTTCTTGACATCAATACCTACAAATAATAAGAACCACTTTCATGAATTAATTAGGAGAGAGAAAATTCCCAGTGTGACAAAAACAAATAGCCTTTACAATTACCTAGATTCTCTGAGAGAACAACTGTGTCACCCAGAGAGGATATCAAACCTTCCTGGAATAGAATGAAAACGGCAATTGCACTCAAAGCATTATTCCTTACCCCCATCTAGGCCTTAAAAAGCCTCAGGGACAAAATCAAGACCCCCATCATTCTTAAAGTCTTCACAAGTGTGTGCCATAATAAGAGCAACTAAAACATAAAGGTGTTCAGTCACACATACCTAGGTTTTCAGTTACAAGGCTGACTACTACGAGTTTTATGTGAACATTTCTGCTTAGACCTAAGAAACAAAATTTCCTCCCAGAAAACTTTGTCCCTTTTACAAGACACAGTGGAAATTTTGAGTTATTTAGTTGGAGTCTTTACTGCTTGAATTCAACTGATTCTTCTCTACTATCTTCCAGTAGCTCAAAGTCTAAGAATACAGCTCAAGTATAAAACTTATGCATTTATAAACTACATTTTAGCATCTACTATGTGCTGCGGAAAAAAAAATAGTCAGAAGGAAATCTCAAAATACCAGTTTCCAAATAAAGAAAAATTAAATAGCACTGAATTATCTTAAGAACTCTGAGGGGCCAGAAGGTGGCATGGTGGTTAAGGCACTGGACTTCCACATGGCCAACCATGGGTTGAGTTCCAGACTTGGCGGAATCATGCCAAGCACATGTGTGTGCATGCTCCAAATCCCAGGAGCAGAGTAGAGGAAAAGGGATTGTGGGGTGGCCGACCCCCCCAGGGAGTGATTTCTCACTGTCTCTCTCTCACTCTGGCAAGAGCAGGTGCCCTATGGCAAAAACCTTACATTTTTTTTTCTTTTAAATTAAAAAGAAGGAGGAAAAAAATCTCTGATAATTTTTAAAAATTCAAGACTTGGTAGGATAAATTACACATTTATGTAGACAATAAATATAGCAACTATATTCAAGGCACTGTGCTAAGCTCTGTTTATACAATGATAAATATTTGCAGGAGAAATAATATAAATGACATTTACTGAACTCTTAATATATACTAGGCCTTCTAACATAGGTATACATTTAATCCTCATGACAACCATTTAAGTTGGTTATGTTAGTGATTTCCACTTTATAGGTGAGGAAACGAAGGCACAGAAAGCTCAGTAACTTGTCCTAGGTCATGCAGCTAGTAGGTGGCACAGCAGGGACTCAAACCTAGGTGGTTGGCCTCCAGGCTGGCACCCTCATGCTGCTTGCTTAAACTGTGATGGGACATACACACTAACTCAGAAGTCAGTAAGTACCAAGAGAACCATAAAAATAGAAGACTCCGCCTCACGATATGACAACCAGCTGTCCTAGATTTCCCAGCACGCTCCCACTGATAATATTCCAATCTGTTAACACCACAGGTCCCTTACATTGGCTTGAAAATGCTGATTTTCAATATAAGCCTTGAAAATACCTGAAAGACTGAGTAAGACACAAAAACAAATGTCTTTGAAACTGTGCCTAAGAAATGCTATGTAATTCTTGTGTACGAAGATATATACTCTCACTTTTCTTTCAGAATCAGAAAAACTCCAGTTTTCAAGAGCAGTGTTATCATGGTTAGCTGACTGCAACTAATACAAAGTCTGCCTACAAAAGATATATTTAATTTGATAATTCGAAGAGTCTAAAGTACCCAGTGACAGTAAGAGATACTCAATTCTGGGAAAAAGGGAGGGTTTTCCGTTTTGCTTAACATCTTAGATTGCCCTGACAAATCACCAATAACTCAACAGCTACTTAGATGAAAATGTACCAAATCCTTTGTGGGGGTACATGTGAGGCTACCTGCAAGGCTCTCCCTGGCTTTTCAGTTTGGAACTATACTCTAAACTTTCCTAACAGAGAGTTGGTTATCCAATTCTTCAAAATATTCAAATAAAAGACTCAAGATTCCACAAATTCCCTTGATAATACATGCCAAAATCTCACGATACTCAAGAATTACAAAGTTTTATTTCAATCCACCCCCTTCATAAACCTTCCCTTGGTGAAATGACAAAACTCAAATCATAGTCTTGCCCCTAAACACAAACACCATGAGCTTTAATGAGTAAGTTGATAAACGTGATCACTGTGTATTTCTGATTGATTCGCTTAATTTGCTTCTCCGCAAGAATTCTGATGTTCCTAGTCCTAGTTGCTTTAAAAGGAATAAGATCCACTCCCCACCCACCACTTCCAACTTTGTCCCAACTATAGCTTCCACCCAACCTGTGGTAGCTTGCTTTGGAAAATGTATCAAGGGCAAAGAATCCCAGGAGAAAGCCAAACTTGGCATGAAGCAGCCTGTGCCTATTTAAGTGGTGGGGCAACAAATGTGAGAAAAAGTAAAGAAAACTACCCTCAGCTAAGGATCAAATAAACTTTCTGTCTTTAAAAACTCTGAATGTCTACTCTAAGGAGACAGCTCACATTTCAACAGAGAGTGAATATAAATCCACGTTAAGAAACTTGAAAGGAAACTATACTTGCACTGATAAATTCTCAAACACTTAAACATGTCCTTGACTCTCCATGGAATTTAGGGTACATACTTAAGTGATGCCACCTCAGTTTTACCTTCTAAGACACAACACTACACACTGTCCAATATGGCAGCCACTGACCATCTGTGGTACAAAAAACTTAAATCCATTAAAATGAAAGAAAATGAAAAATTCATTTTATCACTTACATTTCTTAATAATGTGTTCTCAAGTGCTCAGGAGCCGAACGTGCCTAGTAGCTACCAGAGTGGACAATACAAAATAGAACACTGCCACCATCATAGAAGTTCTACAAGACAACACAGTTCTACATGGTGCTCCAACACTCAAGATTAAACACTGCTTTGAGATCCTTGGAAATGATATACTAAAGGATGCACTGCCTGAGGCATACATATTTAAATCAGATTTATCTTAATCCTTCAGCAAATCTTTCCAGTGTTCTCTGGTGGCTAGACATATGGGTATAGTGTCCTAATCTTTTCAACCTTCCCATTTACGTAAGCTAAGCTAGTTTAGGGGCTTCTAATTACCATAACTACCAAGTGAATTTTATAATATTCTCTGACTCATACACGTACACTCAGATTCTAATCCTACTTCTGACCCAGACTTCCCCTTTGTATCTGGGCAAGTCACTTAACCTCTCTTCTTCAGTTTCAAGAAGAACAATGCTTCTTACCCTCTGAGGGTTTGCAGATTTTAATGAATGCGTGGGAATACTTGGAGGGTGAAAAGCATTCTAACTGTTCCCATTATTCCTCTGAAAAACAAGGATTCAAGCCAAACTGTTACCTCCCTGACACAGGTGAGTTTGAAGTTAAACAGAACCACAAATCTCAAAAGGGCAGTGTTTAGGAGGCTCCTCAGATCCCTAGGAGAATAGCTGTGTACTGATATCAGCCTGGCATTCAGAGAGCAGAGACCTGACACTATCCCTAACATGGAAATCAACACTTGTAGCCAGGCCACGATGCACAGCCAGCTTATTTCTCCAAGCCTGAAGTCAGTGGTTCCAGTTCTCCCGCTGCTCCAAACATAACCCACCAATGTTATAGATCAGCCCTGGGCGGTTTCCTTGTTGGATGACTTTCAAAGCTCGGACACCACTACCACCATCCAGGGAGAAGCCCTGACACCAGCCCGGCATGCCTTCTGGATGGATCCCCCTTCCGATTCTCATCGTGCAGCTGTGGGGCAGAAAAGCAAAGATGTATATATTCAGCCAAAAGAAAGTCTTACCCACCTGTTCTACTCAGGAAACAGTAATGAAGTGACCACCCCAAATTAGATCTCTTCTACTCACACTCTTCCTCACTCTGTGATTCCCACACTTGGCAAGAAAACTAGTAAGAGATCAAAACTCTATCCTAGAGGTAGTCACAATACAACAGTATGTGCAATGTATTGACCTCTAAAACGAAACACTTCAGGAAAAACACCAGAAGTCTATGAGCATGACACATGAGGAAAATGCTACAATTTCTATTCTCCTGAAAATCAAGAACTCAAGCCAAATTCACCATTTCCTGATTCAGGTGTTTCAAGGGTTCATGAAAACGGCACTAGAAAAATATTGAGGGGAGGGCGTGTTCTTCAAAAAGTTCATGGAAAGTACGTATTATCAAAAATACCCCATGTATGAGGCTGCCTCCACAGTACAGCCATAAAATGCTGCTCCAGGGATGCCAAGCCCCCACATGACAATCGTGTTTTAATCCCCAGTCTGGTCAGCCGGAAACATGCCAGGCACACGCACAAGTGCCAGGATCTAACCAGCTACAGGTCTGGAGGTAGATGATTGTGGCGTGACCAGAAGCCTGTGGAGGGTGCTAATCTCTCTTGTGCATATGTGCATGCACAGAGCCAGCCTCAAGACAAATGACAAAGCACAGTCTTGTCACCGATAATGAAAATGTAATACCTGATGTGCATCACCACTAAGGAGCAAGGGAACCGTGGGCAAAACTCTTTCTGAGCATCAGTTTCCTTATCTTAAAATATGACAATATTTTCTGTCCTACCTAAAAATCCAGTGAGTTGGTCTGTGTAGAAATGCTTTGGAAACCGTTAATTCCATGGGTAAAACAAACTATGACAAATGTCAAGTCCTAGATCTGAAACTGTCAGAATCCTTTCAGAAAAAGAATAAGACTGGACTTGTTGAAAATGCTGAGTGGCAGGCTATCTCCTGCTCTAACCAATCCTCTCCTTGACTCAACATCAATCTAGAATCCGTCCTCCCTG